AAAAAAAAATAAATTAAGGAAGGACATCCGTATATAGTTTGTATATCTCCCCTATATATAGTTTGTATTGTGAGACTGTTATATTGCGAGAATATATACACAGAATATATACACGAAATATATACAAAATAACGTACAATACTTATGTATACACACAATATATACACATTATAAACATAGACATTGGCAGCTAATCTGGACCAAAATCTCAGACCTTTTCATCTTATTCTTTACGTATATCCCGTGTCCTTCCACTGTTCAGCCCGCTAACCTCAGCCCGAGTTTTATCCGGCGACTTGCGAGCAGCAAGCAACCACCCTCGCACCTTCAGACAAATACGACGACGTCGCAAAACCTCAGCCTTTTCGCTCCTCCTCAGTGTAGCTCGCGACCAACGAGATGCAGTCCAACGTCATCCGGCCCTCTCAAACCAGTCGCCCGCATCCTGCTCACTAGGTGACAGTCAGAAGCTTTCGTGGAATCGTCGCACTCGACTGTGGAACCCCTTTGCGCGTAGCCATGGACCGCTGCACACGAAACTTCTCGATCGAGGGCGACAATGATTTTAGTTTTGGACTTTAAGATGTGCAGGGATTAGGGATTTGGTAATCTATATAGATATAACAAGAATAACCATTTACTAAAATAGTAGTCAAATATTTTGGAAGCGTTTAATGCATGCCTTTTTTTAGAAACTTTTTAAAGATATTCATTAATTGTTTCTATATACATGTTTTGAAATAAGACCAAATCAGACATGATCAAAAATATTGTTTTCTTAAGTAATTTTATTAATATTTGCAATAATTTTATTGTTACCCATTATAATAAATTACAAAATTAATTTTTCATGATTCATGTTGATAATATTTTGATCAAAATAAATATTACAATATATTTTTAAGTTCTAACAATAATAATAATTTCTTTTCCTAAATATTCACTTTCTATCTAAAAATAATTATAGAAAATCGTAACAGGCTGGGTAGAAATTTTTTCTTCCAATTAATCAGGCGAAATCAAGTTGGTCAATTAATCTTTGTCAATATAATTATTTCTTAAGTTTTATTTCGTTATATATATAAATAAGTTATTCTTCAAATTAATATATTTACCATTTAAGAGATCATGACTATATATATTAAATAGTTTTACTAATGGTCAAAAATTAAAATGGAAATATATCAATTTTTTTTCAGAATTTATTTGTATATTATTGGCAATCATGTTTATTTTTTTATCATTTTTTTATTTTGATTTCTTTTTATAATGGAATTCTTCTAAAATATATTTTTATTGAGAGTATGCTAAATAAACTATAAATCCTTATAATACAAATTAGAAAAAAATAATTATAGAAGCGATTGAGTTTTTGGCAATTGTTAAATCAAAGTTGTTTAATTAGTATATAAAATTAAATTCTAAAAAAAATATGTGTGTATATGTTGTAGAATAATTATACACTATCTAATTTTAAAATTATATATTTTAAATTGACTACATAAATAAATAAATACTAACATGCATTATATATTTATTATTAAATAAGTAAAAAGAAAAAGAAGACGTAGAAATTCTATAACTTTTATAAAAAATAATGATATTATATGACAACAAAGTTATAATAAAATAATAATTAAGTATTATATGGTGAATAAGAATAAACAAAACTGTTATTTTCCCTTATATCAAGGAATAAATATATATACTAAAATGAAATTTATATTAGTATAAATGTGTTAGTTAGATAATATATTAATTATTTGGTAAGGTAGTCATAACATGTTCATATTTAGTATTATGGCCAAAAACAGCGCTAATTAAAAGTGGAAAATAGATTATAAACCTATTGTTTTCTAGACTTAACGCTGATTAAAAGATGTGGAAAATAGATATAAGCCTATTGTTTTTTAGACTTAAACGGACATAGTCTATGAAAATAACTCATTTAATATTTATGTCTCGTGCATTGCACGAGGCGCGTACTAGTGTGCAGGATTAGAAATTAGAGATTAGGTAAATATGCAAATGTATATGTTTAATTATATAGATGTGCAGTTAAGATTTTTCCAATTGTACAATTACAATTATTTTCAAATCACATGGTAAAGATGAAAATTCACCATCATTATTGTATTCACGTGTTATATTCTAATATATTTGTGAAAAGTTTTTAGTTGGCAAGGAATTTGATTACAATAAAAGATTTTAATCGTTTATAACTGGTTAAGTTATTTTATATTTAATCATCTAACTCGAACTCCAACTCAACAATTCTCTTATTTATAAATATAATTAAATAAAATTAATTAATCATTCTCACACGGTACATCAATTTTAATTCAATATTCATCACATCACATACCTAACTATTAATCATTCTCACACGGTTCATTGAAGCTGCCCTGAACCGTCGGGTCACCGACCTGCCGGTTTTCGGCTAGTTTGGACCCGACCCGACCCATAAAAAACAATAAAATTACAAACGTCGTCCTTCTTCCAACTTGCGGCCCGCCTCGGACCACCGGGACAAAATAAAAAAAAAAAAAACTAAAAATTGGACTGGACCCGCATGGCCAAGGTTCTGGTTCAACTAGGGCTGCAAACGAGTCGAGCAGCTCGCGAGCCGCTCGCGAGCGCTCGAGTCAAAGCTCGACTCAAGCTCGAGTTTGACCGATCTCGAGTCGAGCTCGAGCCCATATATTGCATTGTCGAGCGGCTCGCGAGCGGGTCGAGATATGTGAAATTACTAAAATACCCGATATGTATGTAATTAATGGTTATTTTACAATATTTCTTGAAAAAATTCGAGCCGAACTCGAGCCGAGGTCGAGCGTATGAATTCGAGTCGAGCTCGAGTCGAGCTCGAGCTCTTGTATGTTTTGATCGAGTCGAGCTCGAGCACCAAAAATTGAGCTCGACGAGCTCGAGCTCGAGCTCGAGCACC